TCTCTCTCTCTCTCTCTCTCTCTCTCTCTCTCTCTCTCTCTCTCTCTCTTTCTTTCTTTCTTTCTTTCTTTCTTGCTATCTCTCCAAAGATGGCTTTAGGAAACTTACAGATATTGAATGAAATGAGTGTAAAACATTAAAACAAATAGAGATCTTAGTTGTAGTTTAATTGAAATAAAATTTCAGTCAAAATAAAACTAAGCAGGATGGAGAGGGAGGGAGCAAAGTGCACACAGGGAGGGGGTGTAATGTTGTCTATATTCCATTAGACACCTCCAACTTGCCACACTCCCATTGGGGCCCCAGTCTAGTTAGAATAGCCACATCGTCAAGGACTTTCAGAAGGACCAAAAGGGTGGGAGCAGATCTGATCTCAGTGGGCATGATGTTCTAGAAGGCAGGAGCCATGGCAGAAAAGGCTCTTCTGGAATCTGACAGCGAAAATTCCTTGGCTGATGGAGCCCACAACATGCTCCTTCTGTTGCCACAGCTGGAGCAGGCTAATGCCATTGGTGTGAGCCAGTTTCTCAAGATAGCTTGGACCCATGGCATGAAGGGCTTTAAAGGCTATAACCAACATCTTGAATTGGATGTGTAAGCAAACTGGCAACCAGTGCATCTCGTGGAACAGCAGTGTAACATGGGCCATGCCTGTGCAGCGGTGTTCTGCACCAGCTGAATTTTCTGCATACTCCTTAAGGGTAGTTCCATACAGAGTTCATTGCAGTAGTCCAAGCATGAGAAGGCTTGAGAGACTGAACACAGGAAGGGGCATAACTGGCACACAACATGAAATTGTGCAGAGGCTGTCCTAGTCACAACTGCCTCCTACTCATAGTTTTCACCCATAAAGCCCACCATGGCATAGGGCCTAGTTATTCAAGTGACCACCTGCCCCTGGTTGTTTCTGCCCATCTGGTGAGATTGGGCAGAGGAAGCATGGTGTGGATGCCATTAATCTAACAGTGTCATATTATAGAAAGCATGCACAGTGTCATATTGTAGAAAAGGTGGCACAGGTGCCTACAATTTTCTTAAACAATCTGCTCTTTCACAATGGGCCATGCCTCCTCTCTGGAATTATATCCCCTACAGATTTAGAAGGTTCTCACCAGGTGATGTTCAAGAAGTTATTAAAGACCTGGCTGCTCTCCCAGGCTGTGGAGCAAACTGAAAGTTGAGCCCCTTATTCATTGAGGTTTTTGGCTTTTATGTTATTTTTGGAGTGCTCGTGATTTTTTTTTATTTTGTAATTTTTAAAAACATTTTAATTGTAAGCTACTCAGAGGTGTGAGTCAGGCAGCCTATAAATAAGATAAAAATAATATTTGTTGTTAGTTATAAAGATCTTTTGGATAAGGATGGAAAACTTAAAGACAGGCAAGCCCTTCAACACCAAGGTATTGACTTTACATGGTGGTCCTATTTGCAAATCCAAACAAGATATGAAAAAGATAAAATCAACAGGATTTTATAAAGAGCAGACTCCACTTGATAAAATACTTTTAAAAACAGATGGAAACTTGATTAAGAAACTCTATAAATTTCTGCTAAGCTGGAAGATGGAAGAAGAACAAGTAAAAGAAACAATGATAATATGGGCAAAGAATTTTGGATATTCTATAGACTTAGAACACTGGCAAAAACTTTGGGATAAAAACATTAAACTTACTAAAGCAGCCTCATACAAAGAAAACTTATATAAAATGTTGTATATATGGCATATGACACCAGTTCGATTAGCGAAAATGTTTAAAAATGTGTCGAATACTTGTTGGAAATGCAAACAAAAGCCAGGTACCTACTATCATGCCTGGTGGACATGCCCTAACACAAAGAAATATTGGTTTAAGATTCATAGATGGCTGGAAAAGATGATGAAAATACAGATAGAATTTAAACTGGAATTGTTTTTGCTAGGAATATTAGGATCTAATTATGGTAAAGAGAATGATTATTTTGGTGGAAAAGAAGGTGATGGGATGTGTAGGATGGTTGGGAAGGTGGAAAGAGGAGAGGTAGTGGTCAAGAGGGGGAGGAAGGAAGAGGGAAGTAGGTAGGAAGGTGGAGGGAGTGTGGATGCGGGGGGGGAACGCCGATTATTTCGAAATAGGCTTTTTATGTGTTTGTTTTTCTAATGAAATGCACCATATTTGTATTATTTGTTTATATTTTATTTGAAAAATTAATAAAAAAATTTTTAATAAGAGAATGATTATTTAATACTACATGTTTTAACAGCCGCAAGAATAGTATTTGCCCAATTCTGGAAAAATGAAAATCTACCATCGGATCAGATTATAATTACCAAAATTTTAGAATGTGCAGAAATGGATAGATTAACCTTGGAGATGAAAGAGAAAGAAAATTCAATTTATTTCAAAACTTGGGAAATTTTTTATGACAGAATGAGAAAAGAGCTTGAAATTAAATAGAATATATGGTTTTAGGTTTTTCACTAAGCTCTATCTTCTATGTTAACAATAGCGTTACTATTAGTGATTTTAAATACTAGTGGAGACAGTTAGAATTAGTTCATATTTTATTAATTAAGGTTATCTACTTAAAGGAATTGTATTTACTTATTAATTCTTAATTAGATGATTATAGTTAACTTCACTCATTATAACTGTTTAGTATTATATAAACTATGTTTACTCAATATATATATCTGGATGGTAGTTTGCTTGTTAAAGCATGAGATTATTGTGGGGGGTTACCCCATTATTGTACCTTACCCTAACCCTAACCCTACCCTATCCTCAATTCCTTATTCCTACCCCTTCCCATACCCGTATTTATCCTATCCTTTCCCTACCCATATAAAATCTAATAAAATATTTATTAAAAAATAGTATTTTTTTTAAATGGGCCATCTCTTCTTGCTTTACTATACATAGTAAATACACACACCCATGCACACACACAAAAAGACAATACTTAAATACATCATTCCCACTCCATTTTTACATTTTTATGTATTCTATCCAATATGACAGAAGAACAGTAAATATGCTATCAAGGCACATAAATGAATTGACAAATTCTACTTTCTTTCTGTGTAGATATAACTTTCATTTCCCCCATCAAACCTAACTTTTGTCATTCAGTTTTCAGATTTGTATTTGTTGCATCCTACCCTTTCTTCGCCTACTTCCACAACATTGTTTTATATCTATCATAATCATTCTGCAGTTTCTCAATCTCTTTTATCCTGGACCATTCCTAACTCCTATATTATATTCTTTGCAATCCCGCCCCCTTTTTTTCAAAACACATTGTCACATTTTTTTTCTCTCCTTCATTTTTTTTCTCTCCATCCCGCATTCACAGTTTCTTTTGTTTCATCATTTCACCAAGCATCCTTATTTAGACTTCCCATTCATGTAACACCACATACAGGTAGTTCTCGACATACGACCACAATTGAGCCCAACATTTCTGTTGTTAAGTAAGACATTTGTTAAGTGAGTTTTCACCCATTTTACAACCTTTCTTGCCATAGTTGTTAAGTGAATCACTGTAGTTGATAAGTTAGTAACCTGGTTGTTAAGTGAATCTGGCTTCACCATTGACTTTGTTTGACAGCAACCGTGATAAATAAGAGTCCTTTGCCAAGTGTCTGAATTTTGATTACATGATCATGGGAATGCTTCAAAGGTCTTAACTGTGAAAAACGGTCATAAGTCACTTTTTTTAGTGCCATTGTAACTTTGAACAGTCACTAAATGAACTGTTGTAAGTTGAGGACTACCTGTATGTCTGTAGCACAGAATAGAATTCTTTTTTACTTTCAAGTAAAAAGAATTATATTCTGTGCTATAGAAGTGTAGTGTATAGAAGTAACATTATTTCCCATGCTTTCTTTGGGGAGATTAATCCTAGAATTATAAAACTTATAATACTTTTTCATATAGAATATAGAATGTGTACTTTCTCATTTTGTATTTTTCTCCTTCCATGTTCATTTACTCTCAGTTCTTTCCTTTTGTCCTTGCTCTCACATTTTTCAAGATGTCACAGCCATAATTATCTTTCAGGATCTGAGGTAGATAATATATATATATATATTTTTGCAGGATTGAACTCTTCCCCTTTGGAGTGAAAGTCTGCATAATAGAGCCAGGTTACTTCAAAACTGCAGTCACCAATGATAAAATCTTGCACGAGAATTTCAGGAGCATCTGGGAGCGCCTTCCAAAAGAAACCAAGGAAGTGTATGGAGAGAGTTATTTTAACAAACGTGAGTGTGATTCTCCTATTTTCTCAAAACCTGATGTCATACAATACAGGGTTCAGGACTTCTAGTTCAACTGCAGGGAGCTGACAGTGTTTCTTAACAGATGGGCAGTTGGACCCTGTGGTGGTTGAATGCTTGGTTTGCTTCTCCCTTAAATGGGACTTTAATTCAAGTAGGCCTATCAAAGAAATTTAAGAAACTTATTTCCTCATCTAGGAAATAAAATATAGTTCTGTTAGATGATATCATATCCTGTATCAAATAATCAGAATGGGTAGAAATTCTGTCTCAACATTCATTCCTCTATTCACACATGAGATGAGGGAGCTGAGTAGCAATAGCAATAGCACTTAGACTTATATACCGATTCATAGTACTTTATAGTCCTCTCTAAGCAGTTTGCAGAATCAGCATATTGCTGGGTCCTCATTTTACTGACCTCGGAAGGACGGAAGGCTGAGTCAACCTTGAGCCAGTGAGATTCGAACTGCCAAACTGCAGTCAGCCGGCAGTCAGCAGAATTAGCCCGCAATACTGCATAGAAGTAGAAGAACCAAAGGCTCCCCTTCGCCTTACCTGTTCTATACAATGCATGTGGGTTTATGTACAGGTTGTCCTCGACATACAGCCACAGTTGAGCCCCAAATTTCAGCTGCTAAGTGGAGCAGTTGTTAAGTGAGTTTTGCCCCATTTTACGACCTCTTGCCACAGTTGTTAAGCAAATCACTGCAGTTGTTAAGTGAGACAAGGGGTCGTTAAGTGAATCTGGCTTCCCCCATTGTCGTTGCTTGTCAGAGGTTGGCTGGGAAGATTATAAATGGTGATCACATCACTCCAGGACAGTGCAACTATCATAAATATATGCCAGTTGCCAAATACTTAAATTTTGATCATGTAATTATGTGAATGCTGCAGCAATCATAAGTGTGAAAAGTGGTCATAAGTCACTTTTTTCAGTGCCGTAACTTTGAAGGGTCACTAAACAAATGGATGTAAGTCAAGGACTATCTGTATATGTGGCCTTCAAAAACCCTGTTGGAAACTACCTGAAGAATGTCATGTCTATCCTTGCACGTTCTGTATTACTCAGAGTCATGGGTACAAACATTTACTTTGTTCAGCTGGATTCAAAAATAAACGTTGTCCTCAGTGTCCATAATATTAACAAACAATTGTAAGAAAGGACATAGTAATCATATGACTCATGTAAGGAGGATATGAAGCTGAATCAAATTAGTTCAATGGAAATTGTTTTGATGGTATAAATGTCTGTATCTGTTTGCCCTCTATCTTGCTTCTCTCTCGTGTGCCAAAAATTAGACCCAGTTTTAGTGTGCTTGATTTTTGATTTCTAATAACTAACCTATATGAACTATGCTAGTTTTCTGAACTGTCCTAGCTTTCTTCGGGAACTCCTGGGGGTTGGGAAGACACCAATTGCTAAGCTTCTGTGTACATGATGTATGCCTGGGTGGGAGTTACTTAGAACCTCCCCTTTTAATTGGATAAAAGAGATTAACCTTCTTAGGGCCAATGCATTTGGTGCAGTGAGCCACATAGCTACAGAAAGTCTTCTACATACAGTATTCTAATTATGCTGTTACCCTGAGCATTATTTCTGGCTGGATGCATTCTTACCACATTGACTATTTTATAAATGAAACCCACAATTCTCTGGATGTTAATTCCAGGCACCTAAATGTGTAATGAGCAAAAGTTATCGTTGCAAAGAATAGATACGGTCTGGGCCATTTGTATACCAGATTGTTAAATGAGAGATTAGTATGGTTCTAATTTATGTTATGAAGGACTGGTGTATTCTTATTTCGTTTCTTTCCCTTTCTCTTTCTGTAGTGATCGAAGGAACGACTAAGTTGCAAGACAAGTGCAGTGCTAAACTTCATCTGGTTACCAACTGCATGGAACATGCATTGACTGCTGTGCATCCTCGCTTCCGCTACTCAGCTGGTTGGGATGCAAAACTCTTTTACCTCCCTGCAAGCTACATGCCAACGAGGCTAACAGATCTATTATTTTTGTGGTCTTATCCTCAACCAGAACAGAGAGCTTAGGGTGGAGAGATTTCAAGAGGAAAGTTTGACACTGATGGATTGGGTTTGAAAATCTATTGTTTTTTGAATCTTTCATTCTTGGGTGGGTTTTTATATGCTCCTCTTTTTATTATACAATGCTTGTTTCCAGAATATATCCTAAATTATCTTTTATCAGGTCAGGGCAGTTTTCTTGTTACTTAGTTATATGTAGGTATGTATATTCCCACCATTCACCTATCTGTTGTAGAAGTGATGCTCATCTAGGTTTTGACTCTAAAGTATTATCAGGGCAAAAGCATGCAAAGTTTTCCTAAATCAAATAGGACCATTGATCTGTCCAACTTAGTAGGTTACCTTGGATCTTTGAAGTCCTGATAACTGGGGGCAGGAAGCTTGTACCTCCAAATGTCTGTTCACTAAGCTATGGTTGGGAACTGCCATAGCTGTAGACAAATAGGGTATAGATCCCATTGTTCAGGATGGCTTCAGACTGGAGAGGATTCCAGGCAGATGATTCCATTAGTCTGTAAGCAGTTGGTCCTCCTGACTGCATTCTGTTAAGTGGAGAACTACTCCACAAGGAAAACTTGCTCTGAGAATATTTCAGGCACACTTGGGAAATTCTTACACTTTTGCACATTTTTTACTCACTTGGTTTTGTACTACAGGGTTATTCCCAGACAATCCATCATAATTTGGTCTGCCGGAGCCCTTGTGAAGGCCAACTTTACTATTTGTTGCTTAGCCTATTAGCAGCTCTTTCAGAGTTACTTTTTAATGCTGATCACTGTAAGTCCTAACCAAATTAATCTTGTTTGAGCGATTTCATAATCTGCCTTTTGTCTATACTGTTTAAATCACAATATTAACAATTTATGTTTTAGCTTCATGTTTTAAATTATCATTTTTTTAAAAAAAAAATTGTTAACTTCTCATCATGGAATAAAACAGAATAATTAAATTGATGCAGCACACGTGAACCTCTCTTCCTTTGAAACTGAAGCAATCTGGTAACTTAAAAAATTATAATGATCCAAGGGAAAAAATCAGGGGAGGAGAATACAGAGCTGTTTTTTAAGCCATGCTGGTCAACTAGACTATAGCTGTGAATGCAGTATGATGGACATCTGAAAACATATAAAGTGGGCTCTATCAAAAGTGGTGCTGGTAGATTGCAGCAAGGACTTTCCAAAACCATCTGGGAAGAAGGCAAAAGGCAAATCATTGTTCCACATTTTTTGAAGTCTAAAATCTATCAAAATAAAATCAGGAGGGTTGGAAGAGAACCAAAATCTGTAGTTGTTTGATATCTATTAAGCAGGCACATGACAGTGATTTAATAGCCAGCTTCCCTCAGCTGGACGCCTTCTATTTTATTCTTAGCATTGTCAATCGATAGGTGACCAAGTGGACTAATAATAATGGGAGTTTGGGTCCAAAATATTTAGCAGGAACTAGGATAGATGAACATTGTAATGTTTGTATTTGAAACATTTATATTCAACCATAGGTTTTAGAAAAATTCATATAAAATTACAGCAATGTTTCAAGGTTAGCACTAAAATGTGTGCATTTGGAAATCTGAAAGCATATGATAAAACCTCACACCAAAAAATCCAATCCTTGGAAATATTTGTAAATGTAGGATAAGATGGCAGCATATCAATTAAAGTAAAAACAAATAAGACAAATGAGACAAATATGTCCTGAAAGAGCTGTAGAAGCTAAGCCTTCTTCAATTATCTTTCGGAACTTGTGAAATTGATTGAGGGTTGTGGAAAAGCAATCTGATTGACTGCAGTTCAGCCGCTATGAACAATGGTGAAAAGTGTTGAGAACTGCAGTTTAGAAATATCTGGAAAGCCAATGTAGGTAGTCCTTGACTTACAACCGGTTGCTTAGCAACCATTTGAAGTTATGACATACCTGAAAAGGGGACTTATGATGCAGATGTGACGTTCCAATGGTCACCACCCCCTTGTGGTGGTGTGACCTCAGTTTGAGCATTCGGCAACAAGGTTAGGGCCACTGTTTGCAGTATCCCACAGTCAGGTGACTTCATTTTAAGGTTTTCAGCAAAACTGCACCACAATGACCACCACCAAAAAAAAATCACAAAATCAGGTTGATAATGTTTTACAACCATTACAACTTGCAATCATAACAGGCAGGCTCCATTATGGTTGTTACTTGAGGACTCTGCAATCCCCATTCTTCTGATAAACCTTCCCTTGTTAATGCTAATTCCTGGCCTGTGTGCCTTGATGGAGATGGGAAGCTAGTGCATTCAGTTCTTCATGAGACCATACATTGCCAAACTTATCAATGCTTTTCATCATTTTCTTCCATTCTTAGTTTATTAAAATAATAATAATAATGATAAACTTGGAAGGGACCTTGGAGGTCATCTAGTCCAACCTCCTGCTCAGGCAGGAAACCCTATACCAGTGGTTCTCAACCTTTTTAATGCCGCGACCCCAACCGGTTGTAAGTCGAGGACTAAACCGGTCGTAAGTCGAGGACTAAACCGGTCGTAAGTCGAGGACTTTCCCTGCCCGGGAGCGCCGCGCATGCATGGTTCCGCCCCCTGCACTGGCCGAGGCGTAGCTGGCAAGCGGCAGAGACGGAGCAGGCCGACCACCAGCTGGCCCAGCCCAAGGGAGGTAAGGCACCCACCGGAAAAGGAGAAAAGAATGGCGGACAAAAAAAATGGCGGACAAAAAAAATGGCAGACAGCCTTGCTTGGTGACCCCCGTGAAATGGTCGATCGACCCCAAATGGGGTCCCGACCCACAGGTTCAGAACCATTGCCCTATACCATTTCGGACAAATGGCTGTCCAGTTTCTTCTTAAAAACTTCCAGTGTTGGAGCATTCACCGCTTCTGGAGGCAGGTTGTTCCACTGGTTAATTGTTCTAACTGTCAGGAAGTTTCTCCTTAGTTCTAGGTTGCTTCTCTCTTTGGTTAGTTTCCACCCGTTGCTTCTTGTCCTGCCTTCAGGCGCTTTGGAGAATAGCTTGACTCCCTCTTCTTTGTGGCGGCCCCTGAGATATTGGAACACTGCTATCATGTCCCCCCTTATCCTTCTCTTCATTAAACTAGACATACCCAATTCCAGCAACCTTTCCTTATATGCTTTAGCCTCCAGTACCCTAATCATCTTTGTTGCTCTTCTCTGTACTCTTTCTAGAGTCTCAACATCTTTTTTACATCGTGGTGACCAAAACTGGATGCAGTATAAAATGAATAAAATTATGGGTTTCTTTATGCTTCACCTTTTTTTTAAGTTAATGGGAATGTTGCAAGAATGCTGTTGCCAAGTGGCCATCACAAGGATTGGCTATCAAAATGGGCATAGACATTAGAAAACAAGATGCTGCCACATTAGCTGCTGCTTATCTCAGCCTTCTTTTCCACTTTGCATGTGAGCACTCTTTCAAACAAAGCTATGGCTTTTAGTCACCCATCATTTTTATTTTATAAAAATGCCTTTGGGTCCTATGTGCAGCTAAAGGATGGTAGAACTTTGTTTTGAAGCTAATCTGTTTCTTATCTAAAGAGAATTTCAAAAATAACCTGGGAATAGCAACAGCACTTAGACTTGTATACTGCTTCACAGGCCTCCCGTTGCCCTACGCTTAGACCCAGCTATCACACCTATTAGGATTAAGCCTAGAAGGGTGCCTTTTGCTCTCAAAAGCAAAATTGACGCAGAGCTGGACAAGCTGCTCCAGCAGGGCATCTTAGAACCTGTGGACTCTAGCCCATGGGAAACCCCCATTGCAATGCCTCTAAAGGCTAATGGAGAAGTCCAAATTTGCGCGGACTATAAATGTACATTGAACAAGGCACTGCAATAGCATGCATATCCAGTGCCTGTGGTAAGCCACATTCTGGGCTCCTTCAAGGGGGGGGTGAATTTTCGCAAAGCTTGATTTGGCACAGGCCTACCAACAGTTACTTGTTGATGAGGGGAAACAGCTGAAGCTCAAACAATCGTAACACACAGAGGAGCCTTTAAGGTCAAAAGGCTGCAGTTTGGGGTTAACATAGCCCCTGGCATATTCCAAAGTGTCATGGAGTGCACACTTCGTGGTATTCCTGGGGTCTGTCCCTACTTCGATGACATCCTCATTGCTGGGGAGTAATCTCTAAACTTAGCTGAAAGATTAAGGGCTGTCTTGCTTCGTTTCCGCCAAGCGGATCTGAAACTGAAGCAAGATAAATGCAAAATTGGAGTCGTCTTAGGCTTCAGAATTGATGCTCAAGGCATCCATCCTGCTGAATCCAAGCTTCAAACGATTCAGCAGGCCCCAAGTCCCAAGTCCAAAAGCGAGCTTCAGGCTTTCCTGGGACTCCTAAATTTTTATCACACATTCCTTCCTCACAAGGCTGCAGTGGCTGAGCTGTTACACCGGCTCTTCGATAAACAGGCTCCATGGCAGTGGACTAAGGTCCATGAAAGGAGTTTCAATGAGGTTAAGGCCTTGCTCTCTTCAAATGCTGTATTAGCACATTTTAATGAGAAACTGCCTGTATGCATCGCATGTGATGCATCCCCTTATGAAGTGGGAGCAGTACTTAGCCACCTGAAGGCTGATGGGACCCAAGTCCCTGTGGCCTACTATTCAAGGACTCTGTCATCTGCAGAGCATAATTACGCTCAGATTGACAGAGAAGCCTTGGCCATAGTGGCTGGCATAAAGAAATTTCATGATTCCTTATGTGGCTGCGACTTCACGGTCTACACAGACCATAAGTCTTTGTTAGGTTTATTTACTACAAACAAACACCACACATTATTTCCCCATGTATGCTGAGATGGTCTATCTTCTTGTCAGCATATGACTACACTTTAATTCACAAACCTGGGAAAGAAATGGGCCATGCAGATGGCCTCAGAAGATTACCTCTAAAACACATAGAGGCAGATCCTGCTCCTGCTACTAACATTCTCTCCATTCAGGAGTTGCCTGAATCTCCCCTCAATGCTAGGGACGTGGCTGCAGAGACTGCCACTGATCACACGCTTACACACGTGCTGACATGGGTGTTGTCAGGATGGCCCGACACGTGTCCAAGTACTGAGTTTCAAAGCTTCTGGCAAAGGAAGCACGAACTTTCCACATTCAAAGGGTGCCTGTTATGGAGTAGTAGGGTAGTCATCCCAGCCTCATTGAGGTTTAGAATCTTGCTCTCTCTGCATGAGGGACATCCAGGAATAGTACGGATGAAAGCGCTTGCGCGCAGCCATCTCTGGTGGCCTTGGATCGATAAAGCCATCGAGGCCCAGGCGCACGGGTGCCAAGTGTGCCAACAGTCAAGGCCTGAAATGCCTCAGGCCCCAGTACATAGGTGGGAGGAAACACAAGCCCCTTGGTCAAGGGTACATATAGATTACGCTGGGCCCTTTCAGGGGCAATTCTTCCTTCTCCTCGTTGACAGCCATTCCAAGTGGCTAGAGGTTGTTCCTGTTTCCTCCACTACTACTGCCAGGACCATCCAGGTGTTGAGAGGGATCTTCGCCTCACATGGACTTCCAGATGTCCTGGTTTCAGATAATGGCCCCCCAATTTACCTCTTTTGAGTTCCAGGCTTTTCTTCAGGCCAACTTGATGTGGCATGCGACTTCTGCTCCATTCCACCCATCTTCCAATGGCCAGGCAGAGAGGATGGTGCACACTACTAAAGATGCTCTCAAAAGACTAACTTATGGCAGCTGGCATCACAGGTTAGCTGATTTCCTTCTTGCACACTGCACCACACCTTGCACAGCCACAGGGAAGAGCCCAGCAGAACCCCGCTGGGGTCGCCGCCTCATTACGAAACTGGACAGGTTGCACCCAGACCAGGTGGCATCACAGGCGTCACAGCCGCGGGCACCTAGGAGACTACAGGTGGGCGATCCGGTCTGGGCAAGGAAC